GGGGGGGGGCGGGGGAGAGGCGGCCCCGTTCGAGAGGGGAGGCCGGTGCTCGCCCCCCCCCCTCCCCCTCGCCGCCGGCCCGCGCAAACCGTGTGACAAACCCAGGCACAACAGGCGTGTCTCAGGCCGACCCGTCGTCGCCACTGGCGTTGGCGGAGGAGCTTGCGGCAGGCGATCCGGCATCGGCCTCTTCACTGGAGGCGCGGCCAGTCCCGGGGGCATCGTCGTCCGGGCTGTCGGCCCCGGGGCTCCCGGCGGTGGCGGCCGCCGGGCCGCCATGGCCCAGCAGCGCACCCAAATCCTCAAGAGGGAGATCATCATCCTCATCGTCGCTGTCGTCGTCCCCCAGGAGGTTGGCCAGCTGCAGGAGGCGCGCGTCGGACGCCTGGCGGCTGGCGGCTCCAGACCGCAAGGCCTCCTCGGCCGCCACCTCGGCATCCAGCGGGAAGACATACGAATAATACTCCTCGTAGAGGGCCGACCCGTCGGTCTCGGCGGCCTCCACCCGGCGGCGCTTCTTGTGCCGACGCGGAAGCCAAGCGTTCAGGCGCTGGCGCGACTCGGCATCGCCCCACTGGGCCTCAAAGCGCCGCCACGAGGTGTACAGCACCACGCGCGTGTCCACCAGGCCCGACAGGGCGGGATCGCTTTCCGGCAGGTCCGGGTCCATGGCCTGCAGGGCCTGGACCTCCTCGGCCAGGGCACGGTCGGCCCGCTTGTAGAGGGCCCGCGCCCGAGCCAGGCACTCGGCGCTCTCGGCCGGCTCGGCATCGGCCAGCTCCTGCGCGAAGGACACCTCCATCTCGGCATACGACAGCCACACTCGCAGACTGTGCCGGCCGCCGGCCTGGAGCAGGCGCTCGTACAGCGCCCGAGCCCGGTCATACTCGCCATCCTCCGCCTCGGCGGCGATGTACGACCGCCACAGCTGCTCCGGAGCGTCGAGGCCGGCCTCCTGGGCCAGCGCAAAATCGCACAGCACCCGCGCCCGCTCCTCCTCGCCCAGGGCACGCTCCATCTCGGCGAAGCGGATCCACGCCGACGTCAAGGTGGGGAAGTGCTCGAGGTACTTCTCGAAGAGGATGCGGCAGCGGGAGAACTCGCGCAGCTGCATTCGGGAATGGAGCAAAGGGCGAGAGAGAGGGGGGGGGGGGGAAAAGCAGGTGAGAAGCGAGGAAGAAGGAGGATGAGTCAGCAGGGGCTGCCACGAGGGGGGGGGGGGGGATAGAGATGGGGGGGGGATCGCGGCGGGACGAAGGCGAGCAGCACTCCCAGCGACGCACCTCCATTTCGATGTCGATGTAGCCCTTGAACAGGCGCGGCTTCGGCGCCACACCAATGGCCTTGCCCAGGGCTTTCCGCGCGGCGGACAGATTCCCCCGGCGGATCTCGAACTTGGCATACAGCAGCCACAGCTTGGCGAAGGTGAAGCGTTGGTGCGGCACAAGCGACAGGGCTGCCAAGTACACGGCCCGCGTGCGCTCGAAGTCCTGCGCATCCACCTCCTCGAAGAGGGCGTACCGGATCCACAAGTAGATGTACCGCCGCCAAAGGCGCTTCTCCTGCCATTGGCGGAAGGATCGGCGAGTGTCCGAGCGGGTGTGTGCGAGACCAGGGAAGGGGAGAGGGGGGGGGGGGGGGGGGGGGGGGGCGAGTCAGTGGGTGGACCAAAGGCACGGGATACACATGCATGTGTGCGCACGCATGCGCGAAAGGAAAAGAGAAAAAAAGAAGAAAGACGCCGCCAGCGGGGACGTACATCGGCCGGGGGGACCTGAGCAATGGCGCGCTCATACAAATTGCGGATGGCTGCCGCATCACCGTACGACTCCTCCAGACGAAGATACTCGAACCAGGTGTTCAAGTCGTCAGGGTTCTTGAGGAGCTCCTGCGGGTCACGCCGCGAGACAGGTCGACGAAGAGGCAGAGGTCAGTGCATGCGTGCGTGCGTGCGTGCGTAGAGGGAGGGCAACAAGCCGAAGGCCCAGGCGGCGGAGAAGGGGCAGCACGCACATCCTCATACTCCAGCTGGCGCTTCTCATACAGGACACGGTCGATGTCCTCCTTGGAGGCGAACTGCTTCTCGAACCGGGTGTACTCGTCAAATAGCCCGGGCGCCGAGCTCTTGGGAAACTTGTCCAGGGCGAACTTGTAGATGATGCGTGCCCGGTCGAACTCGTGCAGGCGGGTCTCAAACTTGGCGAAAGCCGTGAACAGCTGCACATCCGGGTAGTCGCTCAGGTACTCGATGGCCGTCTCGAAGACCTGACGCGCGCGCTCTGCCGGGAGCATCAGCGGGGGAGGTGGGAGTGTGTCAGGGACGGCGGGAGGCTGGATATATGGATGCTTGTTGCGATGGAGACAAAGTGAGACAGAAAGAGAGGGAGAGAGAGGGGGGGGGGGAGGAAAGAGCGAGAGATGGCAACGCACTGACACTTCGCTGGATGGTCTCCTCGAACTTGGCCCACTGGATCCAAGTTTGCGCCTGGGGATGGGCCTTGACAACTGCAGGCCCGGGGGGGGGGGGGGGGTGAACAGGTGAGGGGCGGAGAGGAGGACATGCAGGGGGGCAGCCCGGAAACAGGCAAAGAACAACGGCGACAGGGTCGAAGGGGGCAAACGCACACTTCTGGTAGATGGCCCGGACGCGATCATATTCCCGGTAGGACTGCTCCATGTTGATGTAGCTGTTCCAGGCCGCCTCATCCGGCTGCCATTCTACACCGAGGCCGAGGGGGAAGCACATCCCGGGAGGGGGTCAGAATGGATGCATCACGCGCCGGCGAAAGGGCGAGACGAGAAAGGGACACCGAGGCATCAAGCAGTTTGATGGTTGTGGCTCGGCACCGCACACAGCACGCACCCATCCACCGCTCAAACACCTCGCGCGCGTTGGGAATGGACCCGAGCTTCTGCTCCATGTACACATACTTGTACCAGAGCGAATCCTCGCGCGGCAGGTGCGTGACCGCCCGGTCGAAGATGTTCCGCGCCAGGTTCACATTCGAGTGGACCATCTCGAACTCCGTGTAGTTGATGTACACCTGCGGGCTGTTGGGGATCGACTGGATGGCGCGCTCATAGATGGACCGGGCCCTGTGGTCCGAGGGACGATTCATGCAAGCCAGCCCCATGGGAGGGGGGGGGGGAGCCGTGGTCAGCAGTCGATGAAAGGCCCTCGCTGGGGAGGGGAAAGAAAAAAGAAGGAAGAGCTGGCGGTGGCAACGACAGCGAGCAAGCGCATGCGCGCGCACACAGACACACACACACACACAGACACAGAGGCGGGATGACAAGGGACAACGCACCGCTCCAGCTCGCCCTGGTTCTGCTCCCACTTGGCATACTTCGTGTAGTTGGACACGGTCTGCCGAGACCGGCGGATATTATTCTCGAAGGCAGTGCGCTTGCGGCTCCTGAGGGTCGCACGAAGGCGTGGGGCGGAGGGGGGGGGGGGGGGGGGGGGGGGGGGGGCGGCATGGGGGGGGGCAAGGTGACTGGAAAGGGGGGGGGGGGGGGGGGGGGGGGGGGCGGAGGCAAGGGACCCAGTCAGTAAGTGGGCGCGGTGCCAGGCGACAGGAGCCCCCGACCGCGACTCGGCGCAAGATGACATCCTCACGCACTGATACTCCTTCAGCTCGTCCTCGTCGGCGATTTCCTGACGCGGCGGCTTGGACGGGACCTCGCGATGCTCGTAGGATTCGCGGATGAGCTGCTCGGCAGTGGTCTGGACCGCGGCAGCGCGCTTGTCCCGAACCTGGACCGGGGGAGGGGGGGCGGGGGAGATGGGGAAGGCACATGGACGGGTGAGGGGGAGAAGGGCCACACGGCGGAGCAGGCGTGGATAATGCGAACCTTGCCCTGGCGGCTGTCGCGCTGGGCGCTGGTGCCGCCGGGTCGGCCGCCGGCCGGCCCGAGCGAGTGATCGCCCTCCATGGCGACGAGGGAGAGTTCGAGAGGAGGGAGGGGGAGAGGGAGGGGGCGGAGGGGAAAGAGGAGGGGGGGAGGGGGAGGCGCGGAGGGGCGGGTCGAGAGAGGGGGCCAGGGAGCGAAAGAGGGGATGGGAAATTCGGTGACGGAGAAGACACAAGACGGGGTGGAGGGGAGGGGGGGGACATGTGGAGGTCGGTGTCTAGTACGGGCCGCTTGTCGCTCTCGGAAAAGCCGACGAAATCAGCAGAGCAGCTCCGGGCCTATTACACACCACGACCCCCCGGCCCCCCCCCCCCCTCTCTCTCCGTGACCCGGCTACCGGAGCAGAGGGGCGTGCTGCAACCGCGGCCGCAGACAGGGAAAAGGAGCGCACACACACACACACACGCAAGCCCCGAGCTCAAGAGTAGGCACATGGCTGCTGGCACAGAGCCCGGTGCATTGGCACCACGATGTATTGCAACGGCCGCGACCCATTGGCACCCTCCCCTGTGGGCTAGGAGCGCGAGCGGAAGGCGCAAAGCAGAGGGCTATTTCGAAAGTAAAGTATATTTCACAAGGACTATTCTCAAGGGCTAATGGTGTTTGCAAACTGGCAGGAGCGAAGGAGTCTCTGAAGGGGGAGGGGGGCGCGCGCGAAGTCCGGGCCTCGCCGCCGCCGCCCCCCTCCCCCCCCCCGATGCACGCCCGCCTCTCGTCGGTAGGTCCTCTCTCGGCCTCCAGCGGGACTCCGCACTCCATGTGGGGGGTGTGGGCTATCCGAGGTCCTCGAGGACCTCGCCGAGGCCGTCATCCATGTCGGCCTCGGTGACGCCGAGGAAGTGCTGGAAGTTGACGCCCAGCTGGCCGAAGACATCGGTCGGCTGGAGGAGCGGCGCCGGGCAGTCATCGTGACTGGGGCCGCGCTCGATGTTGGCATTGAGTCGGAGCCAGAAATCCTTGTCCACTTGGACCAGCTCCGCGGGCGGGCAGGCGCTCGCGGCGGCCGCGGCGGCGGGATCCAGCTCCGGGGCCGGGATCACTGGCGGCACCGGCTGGTCGTCCTGGGCCAGGACATAGCACCCCGGGGCGGAGGGACCACCGCGCGGGGTGAAGATCTTCTTGGAGGCCTGGTCCGGGGAGGTGTGGCCGTCCTCGGCCAGGCGCTTACGCGGGCCAACCACCACGGCATCGGCCCCGGTGGCCAGGAAGCGCGAAATGACCGACCCGCCGGAGGGAGCGTCGATGAGGCACACCTCGGTCAGGGGATTGCCCAGCAGGCGCCCGGGCGCGGCCGACAGCGCGAGCGACTCCTCATCCGAGGAGGAGGAGGAGGAGGCGGACCCGGCCGAGGAAGCCCCCGAGGAGCCGGCCTCGGTGGCCGGGGTATGGGGCCCGGCCGGGAGGACGGTGCCGGTGCCGGACCGGCGCCCGGCCATGCCGCGCGGGGGCAGCGGCGGCCGGCCAAGGGCCGCCATCTTGGCCAGGGCATGCGGATCCACGAAGTCCTCCGAGGGGCTGGGGCTGCGAGAGCACTCCTCGCTGGCCGACTGCCCCGGGGACAGGGGGAAGTGCCCGCCGTGGTGCGGCACCAGGGCGGCCTGGCGCCGGTAGGACACCAGCCCCGGGACCGGGACCACCATGCCGCAAGGGCCGCCCTCGGCCCAGGAGGCAGAGTACCCGGGTCCGGTGCTGCCCTGCAGGGTGTCCTCCTCGGGCTCGGAGTCGGAGTCACTGTCCGAGCTGTTGGAAATGAAGCTGAAAGACAGGGCCAGCGCCTCCTTGTGCGGGGGCCCGGCCGCGGTGGGCCGCAGTCCTGGCACTGGGCACGGCGAGGCCGCGGCCAAGGACGACTGGGCCTGGATGATGGGCACCGAGGAGTGGTTGCCGCCGTAGCTGGGGATGGTGGCGGCCGCGGGCCGGTGCGGGCCGCCATGCTGTCCCCCGGGGGTCCCACGCTCCAGGAGGTGAGTGCCGCTGTCCCGGCGGCCAGCCGCCCGGGAGTGCAGATTCCACGTGGACTCGAGGTCGCTGTCGAAACCGCCGTCCTCCTCATCGGCGCAGTACCCCTGCTGCTGGAAGCTCAACCGGCGCTGGGACAGGGCCGCCACGGTGTGCTGCCGGGAGTCGGGCCCGGCCGGGCCCGGCAGGTGGAACATCCCCACGGTCCGGGTGCCGGGGTCTAGGGTCGAGAAGCCGAGGACCCCGTGCTTGCGGCGGCCGGGCCCCGGGCCCAGGTCGTCATCGGAATCGGTCAGGCCGCCGGTGTCATTGTCATCCGGGGCATGGCCATGGAGCCCGCCGGCCGGGAAGGGGGCCCCCCGGAGCAGGTCAAGCGCATGGAAGTGCTTGGGCTCGATCTCGTCCTCGGTGTCGGGGAAGGTGCTCCGGTCCAGCAGGGCGGTGGTACTGCGCGGCGTGTCGGCACTGAAGTTGCTGCTGGAGTACTCGGACCCCGGGGTGCCGGGGCAGTCCATGGCCCGGTAGGCCCCCGGCATGAAGCCGGGGTAATCGTGCGGCGGCAGGCCGGCCTGGCTGGGCACCGGCCGGAAGGACCCGGCATCCGCCGGGCCCCGGGGCTCATCGGTGTGCGGCTCCGAGGAGAGGATGGCCCCGGCGGCCGGGCCGCCGGCCGTGGCCTTGCGATCGGCCCCGGCCATGCGCTTGCCCCGGCCGCCGGACACCCCGACATACTGGAAGGTGGCCCCGCCGAAGGAGTAGCAGTACACATTGTCATCATCGACCGAGCTCGGCGGCTCGCCATTGATGCTGGTGCTGGCGGCATGCCGGCCGGCGGCCGGGCTGGCCGCCTCGAGATCGATGTGCCGGCCACCGGCCCCGGGTCCCCCGGGCGGGGGGTGGGAGGGGCCGACATCGACGCCGGCGGCGCCCCGGGTGGCCGCCATCCGCCGGTGCCCGTGGTACACCTTGAGCCCGGTGGCCCCGGCCACGGCCACCACAAGGCAGGCCACCCCGAGCGCCGACCCGAGGAAGATCGGGCTCGAGAGCAGGCCGCCAGAGGCCGGCTCCTCGGACCCGGCGCCCGGCGTGGGCGAGGGCCTCGGTGTAGGCCTGAATGTCGGGGTGGGGGTCGGCTCGGGCGTGGGCTCCGGCGTGGGCTCCGGCGTGGGCTCCGGCGTGGGCTCGGGGGTCGGCTCGGGGGTCGGCTCCGGCGTGGGCAGCGGCGGCGGCGGGTCGTCATCAAAGATGTAGGCCCCTTCGCAGGCACGCGCCGGGTCCGGGCACACGATGGCCGCCCCGTAGAAGGGCACATGCAGAGCCTGCCTCGAGTCGCGGCAGGTCCCGCGGAAGATGTACGGCTCGAAGTAGTCCGGCGCCTCGGGGGCCAGGCCCGACTGCACCGGCAGGGCCACCTCCAAATACAGGCGCCGGGTGGCCGGGTCGCGCCGGCACCGGCGCATGAAGCACCCGGCGCGGCCGAAGCTCTCCAGCTTGGCCGGCGGCGCGGTCATCCCAAAGGCGATGGTGGTCTCGAAGCAGGCCGGCTCGGCCCCATGCGGGATGCTCGACTCCCCGGGGGCCGTGTGGTCCGTGGGCAGGGCCCAGAGCTGCGAGTCGGCCCACACCTCGGCGGTGGAGGCCAGCTCCGGGCCGGGCCAGGACCCGGCGCAATGCCGGGCCACCTCCAGCACCGGGCAGTAGTCTCGCTCCGGGCGAGCCCCGCCCAGGCGGGCCAGCGGCGACGAGTCATCCGGCTGCCAGGCCCCCTGCATGTTGACGCCTCCGCCCCAGTACCGATGGGCGGCCGGGCGGATGGGCTGCTCGTATTCGACCCGCGAGCAGAGGGCCACCGATCGGAAGTCCGGCGAGCAGCCGGTGAACTTGCTGGCCGCCTGCACCCGGGAGCACAGCTGCGGCGCCTCGCCGGCCGGCCGCTGGAAGGGCACCTCGCCGGAGAGGAAGTCCACGCAGTAGGCCAGCTCCGTGGAGCAGCCCACCCACCGGCCATACTGACCCAGCTCCGAGTGCGGGATGGTCCCGACATTTTGGCGCCCGGCGGCCCAGTGCGTGGACCGGTAGTACCCGGTGGCCTCCAGGGCCCCGAGCGTGACGGCCGTCACCCGGGGCCCATACCGCAGCATGTGTCCGGCGTCAATGGGCGCCGCCGACATCAGCTCGTCGGCCAGGTGCCGGGCCTCCAGATGCAGGGCATGCTGCCGAGTCAGCTCCAGCGGCCCGGCCGGCAGGCTTTCCGCCTCGGCCCCGAAGTCCGCGTCCTCCAGCAGGACATCCGTCTTGGAGGGGCAGCCATAGTGCTGGCCCACGCGGCGAGCCAGCGCCGGGCTGTGCAAGTGGAAGCGCCGCAGCCCGTGCGAGGTGACCGACACCTGGGCCACCTTCGGGCCCGGGGTCTCGGGCAGCTCGTCCTGCCAGTTGGGCACATACTGCCCGCTGAAGCCCATGGCGTGGACCAGTTCGTGCTGCAGGGCCGTCCGGGCCACCGGGTCCAGGGCTCCCTCCTTCGCAGCGAGGAGGTCCTCCACCGGTGCGCATACCGACAGCAAGATGACCAGTGGCCTGCGTGAGTGGGGCGCAGAGGGGGCGGGGAGGGGGGGGGGGGGGGGGGGGGGTTTGGTCGCGCCGCGGGGGGGAGGGGGGCGGGGGGGGGGCCGTCGATCCGGGGGGGGGGGGGGGGGCATCCCGGCAGGCGCACCGGTAGTACCGATCCGTCTGGCACACGGTCATGGAGAACAACGAAGCGCGGACCCGATCGCAGGCGGTCGTGAAGCGCGGCTCGGCCAGGGCGATGACCAGGCCCGTGGCGTCGCCGTTGGGCCAAGAAGGCAGCGCGCCGCCGATGGCTGCGACGCACTCGAGGTCCGGCTGGAAAGCGATCCTCCCGGAGAAGCGCGGCACCAGGAGATCCTTCGTGATTGTTTGGGTGGCCTGCTGGATGGCCTCAACCATCTCGGGGGTGTGATGGCTGGAGACAATGTCGGCCACCAGAGGCACCCAAGCCTGCCGGGGGGGGGGGGGGGGGGGGGCGTGGGAGCCCGGGGGGCCCCCCCCCCGGGGGGGGGGGGGGGGGGGGGGGGGGGGGGCGCGGCCCGGCGGGGCGCCGCGCCGGGGGGGGGGGGGGGGGGGGGGGGAGATTGCGTGTCCGCAGGATGCCGCCACCCGGTGGTACGGCAGGACAGGGGACGAGCGAGGGGTTAACAAGCGACCACCGCACACACAGACACACACACACATCCGGACTTCGCCATCGGCGTCGCCCCCCAGCGCGAGGCGGCCACCGGCACAGGCCAGCTAACATTGCACCAAGCTACGCACCTCCGTCTGTTGCTGCTGGTACGGCGAGTGGAAGTCATAGGAAACACCGGACTGGTGGGGGATGATTTTCCAGTTTCGGTTGTGGGCACAAGTGTGCGAGAGATGTGCGCGCGTGTGCTCGGCGGTCGCGGTGAGGACCAACCACAGGAAAGCCAGGAGAGGCGGCACCAGCCGACTCCCCACGGGCAAGCGTGCAGACAGCTCCATGGGTGCAAGGATGGCCCGGGGCGCGGGTGGCAAAGCGCCGGAGCGAGAAAATGAAAATAGAAAAAAACGCCAAAAGGGCGGGGGGAGAGAGCGGGGGGGGGGGGGACCAGGAGGGAAGCGGCGCCAAGTGCAAAGCAACGGCGCGCACAAGCAGCGAGGCGCTTCGGGCGGGCAAGAAATGTGTGCGAAGAAAAGTGGCAGCAGGGGGGGGCTGAGGTGTGGGAACTTTCGCCAATGGTGGATGCGGTGAGGAGGCGTTCGTGCGCTAGGACTTTTGGCCCGGTGACCCAAGAGCATGCTCCGCTACTCCGATTCGGACCGTGGCCACAGGGTCATCGAGTACCAGCGAGAGATTCTCCCTCCCGCCTCCTGGTCCTTCTCGCCCGCCTACGCCCCCTGCCCTCCTGCGATTGTCCGCACCAGGCAACCGGACCAGGCTATCTTCGAGCTTCCGGGCATGCCCCCCCCCCCCCCCCCCCCGTAGCCCGTCTTTCTCGGCTGCTGTCCGCCCCGTGCCCCGTCCCTGTGGCGGGCCCCCGGCACGCAGCTGGCTGCCTGCCTGCACCATCCAAAAAGTGCCCGCCAACAATGGCCATGCACTTGTGCACAAAGCTGCCGGAGTTGGGTGAGCAGGATGGGCTCCCGCCTGGGCGGGGAGGCTTGGCGGCATCCGGCCGCCGGGGTTGACTGCACGAGTGCCGCCAGGGCGGTGGTTTCATAGTGCAACGCCGGGGCCACCAGAGTGCAAAAAAAAAACCAGGGGCCTGTGCAAAGAGGCGCAGGGGGGTGTGGAGGGGGGCAAGTTGCTCACCTTCACAGTCGCAAGGCCCCAGATGGCTTCCCCCATCGGGGCTTCTTTGCATGTGGCGGGCGCCGGGGCATCGGACCGGGCGGCAAGGTTGCCATGAAGCGGCCCACTTCCCGCCATTCCAGGAGATCACACTCCCCGCCGGCAGAGCGAACACCTTGGACCCCGCGCCGGGGGCCGGGAGGGGCAAGGGCAGGGGCGGCCACGGGGCGGACCGGCGATCTTGTGTGGCTCGGCGGCGTGCCGGGCCTGTGGTGATGAGGGGAGGGAGGCGCGCCGGGCCCGGACTCCCCCTCCCCCGGGATTGGAGATGAGCCTGGGAAGCGGGGCTGGCTGCCGGCAATATGATAGCGCGAGATGCCGGCCTAATCGGGGGAGGGGGGGGGGGGGCCGGGGGCAATCGTGCAACTGGCTTGCCTGAGGGAAAGCAGTGCCCATTGAAGGCCACGCCCGATTGGCGAACCCCCCTCCGGGCCGCAGCAGCCCCTGCCGACCGGACTGAGATGAGGAAAGCGAACGGGGGGCAGGGGCAGCGAGAGAAAAAGGGCCGGGCAGCGCCACACATGGCCTGGCTGCCCGACCGCTGGTGCCGGTATCCATGGGGGACGCAGGCGGGCCCGAGCATGCGGGGAGGCTCGGGACTCGCCCGAGGGTCGAACACTGCCCATTGGCAAGACTTCTCCCGGAGCTGAAATCGGAGGGCACGGAAACGCATTGGGCCGCTTGGTGGCATTGTTGGCCGACCGAGCGGAGTTGCTCAAGAGCGAAAAGGGTCTCGTGCCAGGCGCCGTGGCAAGCCGAGCGCCGATAGCATGGAGCCCCGCGCAGGGGGGGGGGGGGGGATCTGTCTGGCCGGGATCTTTTCGGTCTCCTCCAACGGTCGGGGCCGCGAGGCCAACGGCCCGCGGCCGATCGCCGAGCAGTCGCCGTTACCAAAAACAAAAAGAGTGAATAACCGGAACGCCCAGATGCTCACGCGCTCGCGCGCGCGCACGCCGTTAGCAACCGTCGTGTGCAACTGCTCCTCGAAGCACCCGGTCTTTGGAGGGTGGCCCTCGCTCTCTCATGCGCAGGGGCCTTCGGCACGAGGCGATCTGCGTGGCCTGGTCCGGGCAGGGCTGCCTTCTTGAATGCCCGCTCCTGCCTCGCGTATCCCGGAAGGCGCACGACGCTCTTCCGATCTTCTCATGCGCAGGGGCCTTCGGCACGAGGCGATCTGCGTGGCCTGGTCCGGGCAGGGCTGCCTTCTTGAATGCCCGCTCCTGCCTCGCGTATCCCGGAAGGCGCGAGGTGCCAGGCCTGGGGGGAAGCCAGGCAGCCCCTGTGCTTGGAGGGGCCATTGTTCGGGCATGGCTGGGACATCGGAACTGCCTATGAATTATGCACAATTCATGGCGCCCCGCCCCGGCGGTCCCCTGGCACAGGGTTCCCCGGCCGGGCCCGGGGAGGACTTTGGCTATCGCGGGGAAGAAGGCGAACACACAGACACAAATGGGAGGACGAGATCGGAAGAGCGTCGTGCATGGCTGGGACATCGGAACTGCCTATGAATTATGCACAATTCATGGCGCCCCGCCCCGGCGGTCCCCTGGCACAGGGTTCCCCGGCCGGGCCCGGGGAGGACTTTGGCTATCGCGGGGAAGAAGGCGAACACACAGACACAAATGGGAGGACGGACTTTTGAGGCTTCCAAAATGGACAATAGCCAGTCGCCCACCGGAACGGCCGGTCTGCATGCAGCAGGCGAACAGATCCTGCATTCTCGGCCCCTTCCGGGCGGAACTCACTCGCGAGAGCCCAAAGCCTTTAGGGCCGGATGGCGGACAGTCCCGGGCTCGAGGCAAGACACATCCCCTTCTTAACTGAAAGGACTCGGCGACTGAATTAAACACGCGAAACACACCACCAACAATCGTGAAACGCCGGGGCAGAAATCCGAAACAAGCTCCAGCACGCGGCCGCAGGATGCCGCCATCAGTGGGCCCGAGCATGGTACCACACACACACACACACACACACACACACACACATTTTAGTGTATATATATATGTATTTATAAATGTGCTCTTCGGCTCGCCTTTAGAAAGGGTTCATTCGCTGCCATAGGCAAGAGCACGGACGCCGTGGCTGGCCTTGGTGATCGCCGGGCAGGGGGGGGGGGGAAAGCCTCCGTGACCGACACAAGCTGCATATGCTTGCCTTGCAGCCTAAGGCCGTGACGGCGTCGCCAGGGGAGCTGGCGCCCTGCGGTATGCCATGCTGGCTCGGGGGATGGCCGCTCCCGATCGGAAGTGGATGTGGGTCTGCCGTCCACCATCGGACAGGGACCCTGTTCGAGCGTGGCGGGGAAGGCGCGAAGAGGGCCATGCCAGCGTCGCGTCAAGGGTGAAGGTCACATGGGGGGGGGCAGCCGTTAGAGAAATCGAAAGGATACAGGACGAGGAGGAAAAAAGCCAAAAAAGAAGAAGGGACAGAGGAAGCAGACCCCGGAGGCAGGGCATGCGCACCGGCAAGACTGGAGGATGCACTGCGTTTCAGGAGCGACGGCCCGGGGCCGGCGGCCGGCAGATCGGCGGCAGGGCGCGAGCGGCCCCCTGGCGCTGCTCCGGCCTCCGACAACGGGACGAACAGACCCTCGCCAATGGGCAAGGTGGCCAGGCGCGGCCGAACCAGCGGCATGTTCCCGATGAGGTCGGCCCCAGCCGGCCCGGGTCGGGTGACGGTCGCACTCAGCAGGCCGAAGCCCGGACCGGCTGGCGGGCCACCGCCAAAGAGAATGGGCCCGCAGACAGCCGAATAGGCAGCCAGGCGGTCCTCGGTCCAGGCCGACCCGGAGGGGGGCGGTCCCGCCGAGGCCGCGGGCCCCGAGGCCCCGGCACCCTCGCCCCCGGTCTCCAGCGCCTCGGTTCCAAGGACCGCCTTGAGGAAGGCCAAGTCCGTGCGCAGGGCCGGCCCCTCCAGATGGCCGGCCAGTCGCCGGGACAGCAGATCGAAGCACATGCTCCGTGCATACCCCAAGAGGGACTGGCGGCCCCGAAGCAGGGGGGGAGGGGGGGGGGGCAGGGGATTGGCATTCAGTCAGTCGGGGCGGCGTGGAGAAGGTAGCGAGGACCGGTGCCCCGGGGCGGGGGAAGGGAAAAGGGCACCGACACGGGAGGAAACACCGCGGCGAACATGCGAGCACGAACCTCCGACCATTCGATTTGCGGCGAGAAGGACTGCAGCGCCTGGCCACAATGGAAAACAAGCTGCAGCACCGTGTCCGAGGGGGGCAGTGGGCCGGTGACGACGGCGCCACCCTGAGGAGGGCTCGGTCCAGTGGTCGAGCTCGGCACCAGGGCCTCGGCCGTGTCCAGGGCCCCGGTCAGCAGGTGGCCGATCCACCGCTCGGAGTAGGTGCGTGAGAGGAGTGCAATCCGAGCGACCGCCGCGTCAAGGGCCCCGGCCTCGCGCGGCCCAGGCCCGAGCTCAATGACCGCGCGCGCCTGCATCTCCCCGAGGCACCCGGCCAGGTGATGCGCCAGACGCGAGACGAACACATCAAACACGGCCCCGACCTCGGCACTGGGCCGGACTTCGGAGATGCATTGGGCCAGGGCTTCCGCCGCCTGGGCCAGACCCGCCGCCACAAAGGCCCCAGCCGGGACCACCACCCCGGGCAGGTCCCGCGGCAGGGTGTCACAAAACCCCCGGGTCTCGACCAGCAGCGGGTGTGTCCGGCCGAACACCCGGTCCAAGTGCTCGGTTCCGGCCGTCAGCCGCTCACGCACCAGCACTCCGCACCCCCGCCGGCCAGGCTCCGGGCCCCGGAGCAGATCACTCGCCAGCGAGATGAGCTCCGCCGACACAAGGTCCACGGCAGGCCGGGTCAGGGTGATGCCGAGGGCCGCGTGAATGAGCGTCCGTGCGCGCTCCACAAAGGGGCATTGGAAGAGAGCCCGCCAGGCGGCGGTCGGCGCCGCCAGATCGCCCATCCCCCCGGGCAACGCCCCATCGTGCAAGAGAGCCAGCTGTGCGCTGGCCGGCGTGCCGGCAGCCAGCATCGATCGACAGGCTTGGAAGGACTGTGTCCCGAAGGTGGCCAGCTCGGGGAGGGTTTCCTGTCGTCCCGGCGGCGAGCGGCGATGACCGTGGCAGAGGCGGCGCACAAGAGCGGGAGGGAAAGATCGTGAGCCGGGCGGAGCAGCAGGACACGGGGGGTGAGGATACAGACGGACAGAGCCACCGGCGGGACAAGAGCGTGTGCGTCTGCAAGGGGGTCTGCGAAGGCGTGTCCATGCATGTTGGCAGGGGAGGGGGGAGGGGGG